AGTGGTGGAAGTGGCTCTGCCCGTAGCACCGCTGCAAATTGAGGGGTCAACTCCTGTAGGTTCTCCCAGATTTCCCAAACCTCGCATGCTTGTGGAACTGCTTAATTGGTACCAGACTTGTCTGGGAGTATAAATACATTGAAACATTCTGTATAACTTCTCTAAAACGCTTACTGAATGTGACTAACTAGCAGAGGTGGTTTAGTGGCAAGTGAGCTTTCGTAGCACACGCAGAGAACCTGGGAGTAAAATCGTGAACCAAGTTTTACCTAGGCTAATCAAGCCCTATGTCCCTTAAAGTGATTGTTTGCTACCAGACTCGTCCGAGAGGAGGCATAGTTCGAATCTTTCCGAATAACTTCTCCAAAACATTATTCAATGTGGCTAGGAGGAGGTGGTTTTCCTGTTCCCCTCTTGATCTTTTCCAGCATGCGCGAAGACCCAGCGGCAAGATCCTGGACCAGTTTTCGCCCAGGATTTGGAGGCAACAAAACCTTACATCTGGGACTGACTTCAATTGGCACCTAGGCCCGTCTGTGGCAGTGGTGAAGTGACAAGCGGCAGTTTTGCAGCACGCGCAAAGACTCCGAGCTTCCGCCAAGCCAAACACCCATACAACCCTCAGGGGTTGGACTGGTACCAGACTCTTCTAGGAGGATACACAGATCGGAGCATTCCGAGTGAACTTACTTCCCGATGTCTGTACATTCCACCTATTTCCCGTTGAATGCAATCATATTCATTTACCGAACGCCAAAACATCTCAAACCAAACTTGTTTTCTCTTAGGTCATCCCATTCAAAAATGCGAAAGGCTTTATTCATATAAAACGAAGAGGAAAACAGGCAAAAAGTAATATTTTTACATTAAGTTAGGTAGATCTCTCCTTCTTCGAAGACCCGCTCCCAGTCAGGGCACACAGGGGATAGCAGGCCACATCATTGGTTTGGGTATCAGTCGAGCTATGTACGACCCCCCCCCGGGCCCTTCTGTCCGCATCGTATCGAGCCGTCGAGCATAGGGGGGTGGGGGTTAAATAGTACATGTAAACACGAAAAGTCGCCGAAGACCATACGACTTCCCTCGACCAGGGTTTTCACGATTTTCGCCAACTTCCGTGCACTTTTTTCCAAAATTTTCTGAAAACGCATGCAGAAAAAATACCAAAAGCAACCATCACTCTTACAACGCCAAATGTGGATACCCACCCCCTCCCTCCCTCGCAACAGTACCAAGACTTACACCCCCTTTACAACGTGCGTGAGCGAGAAAACCAACTTATCAAATAAATTTTTCCCGAACTACCCAAATACGACCCCGCTCTCCCCTCTTGGGAGTCTCTCCATAGGGCTCTGAAGTTGGTAGTTGCTACCCCATTTGCCATTCCCCTTTTGTTTGGCCATTCCTATCTTGTTGTCCCATTTTTGAATGGCGATAGACATAATAAGTTTGCCTTTGCATTCTTCCTTACTATCCCCACAGTGGGCTGGGGCGCGCCGGTCTTAGTCAGGATTATTTTTACTGTCCCGGCCGACAAAAATTGCAATATAAACTTTTGATTGAATAAGCGACATTGTACAAAAATAAACCTTTTGGTGAATGAGTCGACGTTGGTTACAAGGACAACTAACCTGACTTTGCCTGAATGGCATGCGGCTCCAGTGCTTGCATAGAACGTTTTGCATCTGAATGGCAAGACATTCGAAGATTCTTTCAGCGAAAAACGAAGACAGTGCAAAAAAAATGACATACTTAGTCATCATCTCTGTGCTAGCGTTCGGGTATTTTGGGAATGCCACCGAACTCGTATTGGGTAACCGTGGAGAGTTGGCAAAATGTACCACATGCTGATCCGGTATTAGCTCCTAGAGAAGGGTGGTTTTGAAGATGAATTGTTACGAAGCCGTAGAATCGTACCTTCAGCTGTTGTTCGAAGTAATCACGAACGGAGCAGAGCTTGGCCTCAATCTTTGGAACATCACAAGCAGCGGCCGCCGCTCCCAAGCCCATGATCATTGGAGTGTTTTCCGTGCTATAACGAAAGATTTTGAGGTTTCAGCTGATAGACACGTCACTTGAGAGTGTACTACCGTCATGATCCCTGCAAGGGATAGGGCATGTCGCGATTCGCGGGGTCCCGTGCGCCTGGGCTCTGGCGCGCTACACGGGCAAAGCCGCGACGCGACCGCCGTAGGCCGCGCCGCCGCCCCGCCCCCAGTGGAGCCTATATAAGGGCTGTCACGAGCCATTCGGTGTGCTTCTCTCCCTCCGAGAGGAGAGATCGCCATGATGCCGGACGGGTTGGCAGGGGTGCTTGATGCGGACGTTGGCAGGGTGCTTGATGCCGGACGGGTGGCAGGCGCTCTTGCACTCCTGCAACAGCGGTGTGCTCGGGCCTCCGCTCCGTTCTGGCGGCGGCTCTTGGTTCTCGGCCCATGCCTTGATCATGACCCGAAGGCACGGCCGGCTGTCGGCGTTGCAGCTTAGCCACAGAAAAAGGCGCCATTTTATAAACCCGCTAGATTTACGGCTTGGACGAGTGGAAGATGTGATGTGTCATCTAGCTTACGCACATATGAGGATTGTTTGAATTGTTAACGCTAGCACTTGTATACAGTATGTGACTTATTGAGCTTGTGGCCCAGATTGGTAAATATTTTATTCACCCTGAAGGGTTTCCCGTGAATGTTTTTCGACTTTCCAGGTTCCAAGAAGGCGAGGACGCCGTTTGGTTATGAACGTCACACCGTTAAATAAAATATTTTTACCATCTTGGCACACAGCTCAATAAGTCAAATACTGTATGCCACTATATCATCGCCAAGTTATCGAAAAGTTGAACGTGGAGAGTGCTAAGCTACGTGTGTCAATAAATATGGAGTTTATTTATGTTGTGATGTTTGCTACAAACGGGACTTGGGAGCTACCGGGCAGATGGGCCCGCAAGGGGCTGGTAAGGTTCGAGGGGTTTGGTCGGTTGTAGGCATAGGTTGTTGGTTGTTATGTTTCTGTTATTCGGCTGTTGCATGCTTCAGAGCAGATGGGCTGCATGTAACTGGACCGGTTACGGCAGGCTGTAACAGTGGTAGGGGCCGGCTGACCCGGGGGTCCAGGACGGACTTGGGGGAGGTCGGACCCACCACGGGGACATGCCTGTGCATGGGCTGCCGTCCCCTGCAGCCTGCCACGGGCTTGCCCGGGTGGTCCCGGAGAATAGTGGCTATACCGTTCGAGAAGACGGTATAGCTCCCGGGAGAACTGTGTAGCACTGAGAAGCTACTGGTGCGTGAGCGAGACCCTTGAACCACCGATTCGTCGTGGGAGAGGACTAGTAGGACGGTCTCTCTTTGAACTGCGATAGGGCATGCGAACTGGGGTTCGTTTCATCGTAGTCAGAACAGCCTATTCCGTCGACCAGTGCAAAGTCAGGAGGGCATAATTGATGGCAAGGACGCCTTGTCAGCGCTCCAATCTGCGCCCCAACGAACGCTCTTTTGTTTGCAGGAATCTTGACTTCGGTTGATGGTTTCGGTGGGAGTGAAGGTCGCACCTGCTCTTGCCTTGTCACGTAAGATCGACAGCCATTGTCCTTGCAAGAGAGGAGGTGCGAGAAGGCGTGGATTTAAGCGCAACCAGGACGGCTTTCCCACCTTGACGCTATCCTGCGCCCGCAGCAATTGGTGAAAAGAGCTGCCGGGCAGCACTCCGATCCTTGCCCCTTTTACACGCCCTCTTGTTTGCAATGATAATGACAGTACAACATTCCAGCACAATAGATCATCGAACTCAATCCAGTTACACCCTGCTCACCCTGATCTGAGATTCTGCTGCTGTCCACCACCATGCAGCAACGGCACCAGCTTGGTAGTGTACTGCGATCGCATGATAAGAGCTCCATTCCTGGGGCCATAGAACTAAAAAGAAAAGTGGGAAAGGCCAAACAGGTGAATGTCTTTTATTACATAGAAGAGGCTTCTGAAAACTGTGCTACCTTATGACCTGTTACAGAGACGGCGTCCACTTTGAGCGCTCCAATATTCACGTCAATCTTGCCAACAGCCTGAGAGACATCCGAGTGGAGAAAAACATTCGACCCTGTACAGTACATTGCATCTATTCATTCTACTCGGTATACTCTATTCGAACCATGAAAATGCTACCGTGTTTCTTAGAAGCCCGTCGAACGGCATCACAGATTTCAGCAATCGGCTGCAGGACTCCTGTCTCGTTATTAGCCAGCATGACCGTAACGAGGCATGTTGATGGAGAAACCAGTTTTTCCACCTCTGATGGGACAACTTGCCCAGTAGACGGATCCACTGGTAGGAGACTCAGTTCTGTAAAAGATCTAAGAACTCTTGTGATTTTAGGAAGGAGTAAGATATTTTTAAAATTCGCAGGATTGCCACCTATTGGACTGCATAAACCCCAGAAAAGGCAGTCGGTTAGCTAAAATACGGTCTGATCATCCAAACGGAGAACAATTGTAATCGCGTTTTTTTCAAATATCAACTGAACATTCACCTCCGTGGGTCTCGGTCCCTTCCATGTGTGAATTTGAAGGCTCTGCTGCTGCTGTAGCATGCCATCCTCTCCGGTCAAAAGTGCACGGGATCAGATCCAGAAAATAGTGACACTCAGGTGCCCTCTCCATACTCCGCCAGCCACACACCTAGCCATAGCCATCCGCCCGGCATTGGTAAAGACACAAGAGCTGCATACTGAGGACACCGTGGTGAAGTGGTATGAAGAATGAAGTGTACATCCGGGTATTATAGTTCCAATCGGCGCTGTTTAGCGACGGGGGGCATTTTGTACTAACATTGCTTCCCTAGTTCCGGTTTACGAATCTCACCATGGTAAAACTTGTGAACGCCTGTGAAGCTGGAGTAAGATCGTCTAGCCACCATCCTAAAACGTGTCAACTCGAGAAAAGGCTACCTAGATGGGTCGGCACATCTATGAAAAGCCGAATGCCCCCCCCCCCCCCGTCGACAAACTGCGCCGTCCCAAACCTATGCACTTTCGGGTGGAGAAGCGGCACGCTACTGCAGCTAAGGACTCATTCAGCTCACTATGGGAAAGACCGTACTCTAAGATAAGTGTTCGGTTTGCCACTAAGAAAAACAGGGTGTGCTCTTCTACAGGAGGGTATATTTTTCCCGAAGGCATCACAACCACTTCCAAAGAAATCTGCACTCCGACAATCATCGAAGATCAGAGACGCAACCGCATTTGCCAATGTTTCGGAGATTAGATGGGCCGAGCTTGTCGTGCGTTTCAAAGATGACCGCTTAACCAGAGAAATACCGACTGGATTCCACGGGATGTCAAGCGAACACCTGGACGACCGCCTATGCGATGGTCAGACTTCTTCGTGAAAGCTCTGAACGAATGGTACGATGGCGATCGTGATCTTTGAGGAGTGATTGGTGATAAAGGAAACGTTTTGATTGAGTGGGGGGGGGGGGGCAAGCCCCTTGAGAGATTCCTTCAGCGCTTTCTTCCTCTGTATTCGCTAATGACTTTCCATGCGCTACCTGGGTCTCCATCAAAATTCCAAGAGGTTCAATCTTATTCCATGTTCAGTGCTTTTGTTCGAAATCAGCAAAGACCTCCAGCGTTCTCCTGCACATCGAGCATAGAGTACTACTCTCAGGAGGAGCCGATGTTGCAAGACGAATCGCTATGTCCTCGGACAGGCACCCCATGGGATTCACCTATAGTTGTCAAAGGCAGCGATTTACATACGCCTGCGAGATTTTTCCTTCCTTTCCTTTCCTTCAATTTGCAAAACTTCTCGCGTATTTAAAGAGACATCGGTGTGCAGCAAGGAACGACAAGGATGTTCTGACGGTGTAGTTCAGGAGTTCTGCGGTGCGGTAACGAACAGAAACTAGCAGAGTATCAACCAACTAGTTGACTCGATATATCGTAGCCCTTACACACTGAAACAACTAGGTCTTGGTGAGAGGAACTCTTGCACTAGACCCATGTTTTGATCCTTGAAAATTTAACTCAGTTTAGACGACAGAGAATTGTGTTATTACTGTAATTACTTGACAAGGGGAATCCGGAAAAAGCCATCTCATGGTACGCGCAGTTATCTTGGACAGTCTTGGAGGTCTTATTTTCAGGACAGCAGGTGGTCCATATCTCTATCTAATAAACCAGAAGTTGTCTGTGTGTTTGTTTGTCGACCAGTAAAGAATGTAGTGGGCGGTACGCCGTCAAGCATAAAAATCCTCGAAAGGCCTAGAAATGAGAAAAGGGATAGGAAAAATAGACGAATGTGAGCAACGGGTCGGCCATTGAAATAAGGTAGAGACACCCGCGGTGGGGGAGGCGTACACCGATAGGGTAGCGCTCGCTCCAAAAATTCATCAAACGGTTCCGAAACACTTTGAAGCACTCTAGAGAAAGGGGCAGCTTCGTGAACAAGATCCTATGTACCTTGGATGTGCTAGGTGTGTGCCAGGAACCACCCACAGCAGGCGAAGCGTGTCCCTTAGCAATAGCTCACCATTCCTCAGATCCTATGACTTGGTCCAATTGAATACTGTACGCAATGTCAAGGCGATTGGCTGCTCGCGAGAGGCATCGCACAGTGAGGCGACCCCACAGTGGAAATTCTCACTGCTGTGTAAAGATCGTTCCTTCAATATACAACCACTCACTTTTACAACTGTCCACTAAGAGGGGGGCAAGGGCGATCCCACTGGGCCTCAGTAGGAATGCCAGGGCCCGCTTCACACGCACAAGGAGGATCGCCGCCGAACGTGGGCGATTTGATTGGCTGTATATATAGCTGGTAGGTGTACAGCAGTCAGTCGAGACGGTGTCAGGAAGGGCAGAATGAGCCTGACCCTGCTTTTCTTTTCTATCAATAGTGATCATTTGATGATCGATTCAACAAGAAAACAACTGGTGCATAAAACCCTATCCTTAGGAAGTAGAGTTCATTTTAATGTCCTGTCACCCCGCTCCAGCTGATTGCGACGGTATGCGACGGACGATATGTGCGATTCACGGGCACGAATCCACTCAAGAGGAAGAGTTCATAGTCACGCACCTATGGAGCCTGTGTCCCGAAGATGATGGAAGAGGTTCCAGTACAGATGGATGTTCAATTGTAGAAGTGATAACATGGGGAATGGTGGCGGAATGTTCCGAAATGGATTTGAAGCTCTGGATGGCTGAATAGATCACCCAGTTGTTGGCCTGAAAAAATTGCATACGAGTAAAGCTTCTTCTAGGAAAAGCAAGAAAAAGACCTCAGTTCCTCCAGAAGTGAAGATGACTTCGGCATCGGAGACGTGAAGAAGTTCGCCAAGCGATCGTTTTGCCTTTTCTATAGCTTCTTTCGCTTTCTCAGCTGAACTGAAAAATATGTATAAAGAGTAGTTCTTCTTAGGCTTTTTGAATCCTTACCTAAGGGATTATGGCTGGAAGGATAGCCGCACAAGTCCCACCCTTACATGACGCTGTTTTCACTGTCGATCAGCGATGTGTAGCGTTAAGTCGAAAAACGCGTTCTTGCTCCCTCAATATACCACGACATCACCAAGAAGAGAGACCCTTGAACGGTCCCTGAACATTCTATTTAGGCTTTGAAGCAACCGATATAACAGAAAACGAATTTTCTCGACGGCAAGTAAGTTAGCATTCTCGAGACAACACCTCGCAAACTATAACTCAATCCGTTGTGGGAAATCCAAACATGATACCATAGATTACTGATTGCCTCATCATCAAAGAAAGAATAAAACAAGATCGTCCCCTTAATTAAGTCTCTTCTTGTCTCGCATTGATAGAGGCAATGGACGAGAAGGATAGCGCGGAGATCGAAAGACGCAATGGATAGAGAACAGAAAACGAGCGAAACTGCATTCATCTGCACAGATACTGAGCACAGCACCTCATCCTCGGACCTGGGTAAGCCTGCCACCTACTGGGTGGAGCACTACGACGAATGACGGCACTCTCGTCACTAACTTTTGAGTGGCGGAAGAAGCGCAACGTTAATTGTAGTTCAGGCTACGTTGGGCAGTGAGAGGGTTCCCCCATCTGGTAACAGCGGACATATCTCTCAAGACAAACTGTACATTCGCTTTCCATGGATCGTTGTCCTTGCCATGCGTGAGGTGAATGAGTCCGCAGCTGCAGTAGCGCGCCAGTCTCTCGAAGTGCACGGAAGCTGAGATGGACGATAGTGGTACCAGAGTGTCCTCCTCCATACTGGCCGACCGTCTTGCTGCCGCACGGCCAGCCAAACGCCTATCCATAGCCGAACTGCTACTTGCCTGCACCTTCTCTCTAGTTGTTCTCTACGGCTTAGCGGGTAAGTTTGTGAGGTCAGACAAGTAGCATGTTTGGCTATGCTTAGACATGTGGCTAGTATATTACAGTAAGTTATGGTAGCATTTTAATTTATTCTATAAAACATTTGGTTAACCATACGCTTGGTTATTAATTATTATTACACGGGGTCAACATAAGGAGATAGTTTGGTTTCCGTTTCGCACGTGTGCCCTTAGACGGAAACCAAACGAGCTGTATATCCTTCTTCTGTGCTCGTCAGTAAGGGAAAGAAGGAATAATGAGTTTATATGGTAATAATTATTAGGATGATATATGACAATTGATGACTTTGTATGACTGTTACTAGATCTATTTGTTTATAACTAGTGGTATTATAATGTTATTTTATGGGTGATTCAAGTTATATTATGAAGGTGAAAGGTTTCATGTTTCAAAATGAAGGAATAGGTCAGCGTTAGCGGAATATGGAGACGGTACCCAGGTGAACGCCTTACCCCTGAAATGGAGAAGGCGTGGCATTCGAACATGTTGCGGGATAGAACGCGTTACTCGTGGGATATTTCAAGTTTCCGGACAACTGTCATCTTCTTCAGACAGGAACGTCCACAATTGTGTCAAAATTAGAATGTCTCTCCAAAAGCAGCCACCTCCACGCCTACTTGAATTACGCAGCCACGCCTACCACATCTCAGGGTTGTGCGAGTATCACCAATCTTAAGCCCGGTTTCGTGCATTTCGAGCGGAGAAAGTGGCACGCTACTACAGCTGCAGAGTCCCTTACCTCATACATGGTCCTTGGAAAAGAGTGTACGTTTGTCTTGAATACAAGATGAGAGGTCCTACGTTGCAACCATTTTGCACACCAAGCACCCTTTAAGCAGAATTTAAATTCATACAATTAAAGCGTGAGTTTAAAATATGACGCAGAAACGACCATTCAATCGGTGTGCATAATAAGTTGCACTTTGCAAGAGTTCAACAGGACTACGAGAGGAGAAGACCCTCCAGTCAATAAGCCTCACAATGCTCCGTGCCTCAGACAGCGACTGTTGGAGAGGGAGCCGATCGATGAAAAAGAGTGCAACCGGCTGGGGAAAAAGGTCAAAAATCCATTCGGAAGGCCGATTGTCTTAATTCTGAGGGGACGTGGTGATGAGCGAGTTCACTAATCCATAACGGAAGAGTTAATGCCAAAACACATTTGAATATTCATATAAATCTCCAATATTATCGTTTTCTTCAGGGCCGCTTGTGACGGGAACCAGCCAGGAGGCGTAACGGGGATGACTCACAAATAACATTGATTTCCCCGTTCAGTCCCTCAAAAAATCCAAAACTAGATCGTAATGCCCTGATGAACCGATGAAATAATGGAGCATTTAGCGCTGGTCTGTTTCTTCGCCTTCAAAGCGGATAAGCCACACACTTCACTTCCATTCACAGTCATAGTAACAGCTGAATGCAGCCCCGTACCCATGTCAGCGTTGCTATCCCCCCCCCAGATGAATCTGTTAAAAAAAACGCGACAGCGAGGGAAAGGGAGGACATAATTCGAGTAAGCGGTGCGGCCTAGATTCTGTCTCTGAACAATGTGTGTGATAGCAGGTGGCGGACAATATGTACACCTTATCTTACATCCTTATCCCCGATACGAAGTGGGCGTGGTATTTGAACATTGCATAGATAAGGTTACCTGTGGGATAATTATTCAGAGACAACTGTCATCCTGTTCAGTGTGAGGCAAAGACATGACCATAATTGTGACAAAATGAAGATATCTTCGTAAAAGTATAGCCACGACCGCGTTTAATTGAACAGTAGCCACGCCTAACCCATCTCAGTGATTTTGAGTGTAACTTTTACGAAGCCTATCCATATCATACCTTGTCGGATCCTTGTCGGAGTGAGGATGTAGTGAGACTCTGGTCCTACGTGGGAATTCCACCCATTAACAAGAATGAGCCCCCGTTCGTGAACAGTGGTGCACACAAAGAAACGATTGCGAAGGGAGTGAAACAGTGAGAAGGCGAATCGACATCTATCAGCCCTGAAGGTATAGAACTGGTAATGCGATAGCTTCCTCAAGACTGCCACGACCTCTGTATTGAAATGGACCGCAATAAAATTGAAAAAAAGCCTCTAGAACTCCAGCTCTATTTAACATATTGCGGACCGCAGTACTGCGCGCACCTCTAGAGCATTTTATCATTTTCCTCAACAGCTCATCAGTTATTCCCTCCCCCTTCCCCTCGTTGCAATTCCTTATGAGGTATGTATCTTCCGTGACCGAGAACCTATTTTCACAGCAATGAAATATGAAAGAAAAGCCAGATTAATAAAATAAAACACTGCAGATGGGAGACAAATGCATGACACACCATGTGTGTCACGCGGTTCGGAACGTGATAAACAGGTGCGACTCTGCAACTGCAACTAAAGGCGACCCAGATCGCACAGTTGTATAGATCGTATTAACTCTCTATGGTGGCGCAGAATCACACCACTTGTTATGAACGCGCACTTTTTAAGAGCTGAAAACCCTCGCAAAGGCTGCCGCCGCGACCAACTAAGCCTTCCAGGGTCGGCTAATTGGCATATTTGTCTTGGAAGGTGAGAACACCAAAAATCTTCCGCGAAGCGCTCACGGCATGCATGCAGAAGACTCCATTACATGCCCCGCCACCAGATGACCACGCTCTTTTTGCCGGAAACTTAATTCAAACTTATATTTTTCGGCTATCCTGCAGGTTCTGGAGGACTAGGTTCCCTCAAAATGCCATTACAATTCGAATTTGGAAACGTGGCGCTCCGGGTTTCCCTCCCCCCCCCCTCAAAGAGACTGATCCATGTCTGGAGCATTAGATTTTTGTTTCCAAAACAAAGACCTTTAGACTGAAAATTGTCAGGAGATTTGGGGACTGTACAGTGCACATCAGTTGGGATTTCGGTCGAGTCCGTACGACCCCGCTTCCCCGCCCCCCTCCCTCCAGCCCACCCCCTAGTCCTTCCTCATCAAGCTGCCGTGCGGAGCGTGGGTGGCGGGGAGGAGTATATACATAGTACACATGAAACAAGAAAAATTACTAAAAGTCAACAACCTCTCTCAGAAGACCAGAAGGCAAGCGACCCCCCCCCTGAAACAAGAAAAACCAACTACCAAAAAACTTTTCTGAGAAAAAATACGACTCCTCCCCTCCCCCAGTGACTAAATACGACCCCTGTTGGGGGATCCTCAACGACGGTGTGCCCAGGGACTGTGTTGTGGTTGATTGATTGAGCTCTACTGACGCAACCTTAGGACCTCGTGCACACTAACGTGATCTCACCACAAGACAGTATCTGCTATTACAACCACAATAAAACATGTCAGATAAACCAATTTCCGAAATAGGGCAACTATTAATGTGCAGGAAGCGGTGCAGAAAAGTTGCGAAAACTCAGCTGTCAGAACAGATTACAGTGGGACATAAAGCCGCGAAGGTCAACGGGACATTACAATGACAAGGAATGGCTGCAAACGTATTGATTGGAAAACCTTATGAGAAAATTGCGGCAGTCAAAACTACCAACTTTTTCAAAGTTTGATAATGGTGGCCTCAAAAAAAGACATGCATTAACATATGGTCCATCGCTAAACTCAGATCAAGCACCTTTAAATATATCGATCCTTCTAACCGTTGTGGTTCCAGCCAGACCCATGGTGTCTGCAGTTAGACGGGTGGTACCAGGAGGCATGTAATGAGCCCACCCGCGGCGTTTTCTACCACTGGTTGCTTTCTTTCTTGATCGATCTCCTAAGCTACCACTACTGGCACATGGCGCAGCTGGGGTGGGCTCTTTCCACGCCTCCTCACACCGCCCGAGCGATTGCCGTGATATCAGTTAGTCTATATGGGAGGAGAGCTAATCTCCGGTTCATTTCGTTGAAACTACTGAACAGATTCTGATTCATTGTGCCAAAGAGGTTGCTAGGTGGAAGGCTTTATCGCAACAGGTCTGATACTTCGACAAAATCGTCGTCCTCAGGGCAATCATAGCTCAAGGTTCAGGTGTTGCA